CGCTTAACGCGGCCGCGGGTTTATAGTTAAGTAAAAGTTAATATTTAAATAAATACTTAATTATTTACTAGGTAGTATTATAACTGCTTTATAGCATAACTATTTTTTTTTTATATATTTCTTTTTTTACAGCACGGGCGGCGGCAGTAATATTTTTAATATTAATTTTTAAATTATTATAATTAGTTACTGGCTTTATAAACTATTAGTTAGGGTACTTATTATAATAATTATAATATTTACTTTTTAAAATATAATAGTAATTAACGCAGGCATTAAATAATAACCTATTAATAATAATATAACCTATAAATAATTTATTTTTTTTTATGTACTAAACACAGGGCATAAAGGGGCACTTTTTAATAATTTATATTATAATTACCTTTATATTACTAGGTAATATAAAGGTAGCTTTTAGGCGCTTAACCTATAACTTTAGCTTTTATATTAGTAGTATTTTAGCTAGTACTTACTAATAATAATTATTTATAACCTTAATATAATTTATAATATATTATATAACTAGCGCGCTAGGTAATAGTTTTATAATAAAATATAAAAATATAGTAAATAATATTATTATAAATTATTTTTTATAATAATATATAAAAAAAATAATATAATTAAGTTTAATTTTAAAAGGTAGCTATATTAGTATATAGCTTAATATTATAAAGTTAAGTTTTAAATATTATAAAAATAAATAAGGTAATAATTATTTATTACTTATTAAAAATAAAATATAGCTTAAATAATAATAAAATAAGGTTATAATATTGAATTAATAAATTATAAACTATAATAACACGCCTTAGGTAAGGCTTTTAAAATTATTAAGCAAGTAATTTTATTAGTTTAAAGTTAAATAAAAGGTGTTAATAAATTAAAATAATATTAATACTTTACTAAATACTTACTTTTAAATATTAAATCTTTACCTATGGTTTATACAAGCTATTTTTAATAATATTTATAGTTAACTATACCTAATAAATTATAGTAAATTTAAACTTTTTTATTACTGGGGTCTAGCCCCAGGAAAAATAAATTAAAAAAACTACTTATTTATTATTATTATTATTATATTTAACACCCTTAAAACTAGCTTTATTAATAAAATTATTTATTATAAAAGTTATAACACAGGACAGGGCAACTAGCCTGGCTATAATAATATTAAAGTTTATTATTACTATAATTATAAGGTAATATAAGTAGTAAATAAATTAAATAACATGTATAGGTAGGGCAAGGGCATTTACTTTTTTTTTTTTTTTCCGCAACCTTCTTAGCCTTTTTTTTTAGCCTTTTTTTTATTATTATTATTATTATTATTATTATTATTATTATTATTATTATTATTATTATTATTACCTAGCATAAAAGCTAAATATATTAATTAATATACTTATAGGTAAATAAGGACTATAACTTATATTTATTAATATATTATATACTAAAACTATTTTAATAATAATTTATATAATTATTACTAAAGTAGCCTAGCATAATAATATACTTTATAAATAATTTATAGCCTTAGGCATAATACCTATAAATTATATTACCTTTAGTAAGTATACTAATATACTACTTAATAATAGCTTCCTGGTTAATAAGGCAGGCTATAATTTTTTTTATTATATTAATTTTATTAACAGGCTTATAAAGCACAAGCTTATATTATAAATAATATAATTAATTATAAAGTTTTTTTAAAACCACTAATTTATAGCCTAAATAATTTATTATATTAATAATATAGGCTACTAGCGGCTAAATTAGTATAAAAATAGGCAAGTAAGTAAGTAAGTAAAAAAAGGTAGTACTATTATTACCTTTAATATTAGCTATTATAATAAAAAAATATAAAAAATTAGGGGTTTATAAATTATAAGTTTATATAAGTAAGCTATATATTACTTATATAATTTATTTTTTTATTATTTTTTAAATATTTTTATTAAATTTGCTATTATTATAGCTATTAAAAAAAGTGTTACTATTTAAAATAAGCTATTAATAAAAGTATTAAATATTAAATAAGCTATTAATAATAGTATTTTTAATATTTTAAGTAAAATAAACTTTGTTTTAGCCTCGCGTATTACTCCTGGTATTAAAGCTTGCGCCCTAGAAATAATGGGACCTATGTAAAAAAAGCTATTAATTAAATATAGCAAGCAAGGAGAAAAGGGAGTGTAATATAATAAAAAAAAATTAATAAAAGGTAATAAAAAGTAAAAAATAAAAAGTAAAAAAAAGGTATTTATAATTTTATACTTATAAATTAGGAGTTTATATATTATAAGGTTATAATATTTAGCAAGGGTAAATAGTTATTAAATTTAAAAATAAATATTAAAGTTAATTTACTTAATAATAATAAAAACTAAAAATATATTTTAATAATATTTAGTAAGGTAAACTAGTTACCTAAGTTTAATATAAAAAAAAATTAAGACCCTGTTCTTGCAAACATGCTACTATTTATAATAGTTAATATAAGTGCTATATATATTTAAAAAGTCTTAAATTTTATTAAGTCCTGTAAAGCAGGCAAAGTAGCTATAAAGGCAGTAACATATAGTAAAACACCCCGTGTGCCGGGATATGGCCTGAATGTTGCCACAGTTATTATGATTAATTACAAAATTAATATAATTTTATATTACAAGGTCTATAACTATTAATTTAGTAATTTAATATTATAAATATTAGGTATTAAGGCTATTTAAATTATATTATTAAATTAGGTATTTATAAGTAAAAATTAAAGGTTTTTTATAATATTTTATATAATAATTAAAAAAAACTTTAAGAGTTTAAATTTAAGTAGTAAATAATTTTAAAAATAATTATATAAATAATATTTAAAAAAATAAAGTATAAGCTAGGCTTATAACTTTTAAAGTTATAAATATTTTAAGTAAAAATTAGTTATATAAAATTAAAATAAAAATTAAAAGGTAAATAAAATATAAAAATTTTTTAAATTTAAAATAAATAAAAATTTAAAAATTTAATAATTAAATATAAAAAAGTTTAAGTTATATTTATTTATTTATTTTTTATTTTATTTCCTAATTAGGTTATAAAATCTAGCTAAAGTTAAAGGTTAATTCTTTTTCTTATTATTAGAGTTAGTTAGAGTTATTTAACTAAGTTTGCCGCGGAGATCCAAGGGATCTCCACCTCTCGTCCGACAAATTGGGTATGCCAGATGTGCCGCAGTGTTATTGATCTGCCCATCAACGGGGAGGATCAACTTCAGAGAAACTTCATTGGGAATTTAACTTTCACGTATCAACGAGATAAGGCTGCTTAACCGAGAAGCTAGAGGACTAAGCGACTCTCGGGCTTTCCACTCCTCAGGGGTTTATTTCCTCTTTCCCGTCATGAATCAAGCAATAAGAGACAGTACGTTTAGTCTGCTACTCATCGCCGCCGCGAACAGATCAGGAGGCCCATTCCCATTGATTGGGTTTTATCTATCTCACGTTTGCTGGCAGATCCTGGAGGAAGAGCCCCCTCACCGCGCAATACGATTGAGAAAGGAAACGCCGGGAGGCCGAGATTGTTCTTGTCCCTGCCGCTGGCTAGAGCACAAACTTTGACAACTTGTGACTCTACCTGCATCGTAGGGTCAATGCGTTTGAGAACGTGATCGACAAATCAATCCAACAGAGAAGAGCAACTTGGCGGTACTCGAAGACGACACCAGTGAGTCACCTCTCGAACACCTGCATGGTTTCTGGGCCAGCCAACCATAGACTCATGCATTCATCGTCGTTGTCGTCGATTTTGGCGTCCCAAACTGTTCCGGTCAGCCAGTGGCGTGGCGAGGGGGAAATGACAAGGCTGAAGAGAGAACTCCTTTAAGGCCATCCAGTTTCATTTGGATAAGTGGCGCAACCTGTCACTCGTAAACGCCATCATCGCTGTGGGGGTGATGAAATTAAATTCAGCCGCACAGTCCCTCATTCTCTTTTCAATAATCAATTTATTTTACGGGGAAGTAGAAGTATAAATATGGACTAAAATCAGGTCTTCCGTTCCGTCAACCTCCAGACTGACAGGCTATGTTTCTTGAGGCACTGCATACCTCATTCAAATTTTGAACACCGACTAGCCATTCTCCTCCCCCACAAAATGACTTCCCTTGTTGCTCCCACTTTTTCTATACTCAACAAAGCTCTGGAGATTCAGGACTTTCACAAGAGCTGTGCTTTGTAAGAAGCGTATACCATTAAGTGCTGACAAGGAAGGAAACTGACCTTCAATAGGTACAACAAACTTCACGATGACTCTAAGCAGCCTCCTGTTGCTCATGAGCATGTTATGAACCTCGCAGAGATGTTTGTTCGTCACAACGCGGACAAGTATCTTGGGAATCCACTTGATCCACAACCATTTCAATATTCCCGAGAGCACTGTTATGTGTGGGACCAACTTCGAGAACCCCTCGCTTCGCTGGACTAAGGTCACGGATATCGACAAGATCGACTCCTCCAGTGTTCATGGACATATTTTCGCCTTCACTTCGGACGGACTATGTGCTTACGAGCTGCAGGACGGTCCTCTTCCCGACTTGTCCAGCGTTGGGAGGGGTTTCCTAGACGAGTTCACCAACTATATCACCAGGAACAATCTCGCAAACCTGATTGGCCTTCAAGTCCTTGGCTGCGGTGGTGACTCTATGTCAGAACTCATCCTTGATCAAGGAACTGTCATGCTGGATTCGTCTTGTGTTAAGAACACAAGGCCAACCCGAATCACAGGTTGGAGATTCGAGTCGGTCAATGGCAAACCGCGTGTTTGCACGGCGAATGAGACTCATGCGGAGATGACCTCAGGCAACCACAAGGTTTTCAATGCTGGGAAGCCCCTCCCCAGGCTGGAAAATGTTGAAGACCTGAAGGCAGCTCTCACGGTGGCCGGTGTTCTTTAAGCTGTGCCTCATTACCATGCATATTTCCTCCAGAATCTGATCTAGGTTACGTCAATTCCGTAAATCTTGTATCCGGATTAATTAAGAGCCCATCCAAATCCCGCATGTTGTACGCTCCATTTTCATCATCTTGGATAGGTACTGGGACCGGCTGATTCGCAAGGCGACTTGTGAAGCCACGGGATAACAGGAGCCCCGTAACCCTTGCTAATTTGACAACTCTAATCGTTTCATCATCCAACCCTCCAGCCTCCTTGCGCAATGTTGCCCAAAATATCTCCTCCAAGATGACGTAGTCATCGTATCTGATCCAACCACTCTTGAGGTGGACCTTGCTTATGAGTCGTTGGTGAGAATGAAGATTGAGACCAAATGGCGCAATCTCAGCCTCGGCCCAATCGATCACCCCAGCTAGATTGCAAGACGTTTCGTCTACCATGATATTGCAGACACCAAAATCTTTGTGGAGGAGAGCCATTGGGAGCGAAAAGATACCCGGGAGGGCGTCGAGAGATCCTCGTATTAACGGGCGGAAACGGGGGGGGAGAGAGATAAGCAATAACCCAAGCTCTTTCTCGTATTGATGGTAGAGTTCATCGCGGTAGGTTTGATTAACAGTTTGCGGGGAGTTCCACGAGAGGGCAAAGAACCTATCAGGATGTGTAGTTAGCATTTAACGAGGGCGTGGCGTTAGGTGCTAGGCGTACCTCGCGATATCGGCTACAAGAGTCTTTCGCCAGGAAGAGAATGTAGCGGAATTTTCAGGTATACAACTGTTGTTAGCGAGGATAAAATCCAAGTAACTAATACCACGTATTCGGTTCATGATGTAGATGTAGACTGGTTCTCTTCCCTCCGTATCATCCCCAATCTGTCCCCTGAAAGTGACTTGGGGGGCAAACTGGCCATATATGGTTCGAGCGAGGTGTACAGTCTCCATCTTCAGCTCAAGAGACCTCAGGCGAAACTGGGTCACAAATTCGCCACTGGGCCCAGCATAGACAGTATAGCTGCACACGCCTTGTACGGCAACAGGAATTATGTCGCCTCCAAGGTGTTCCGCCGCATATGCGTCACAAGCTGCGCGAGTAGCTGTTGTCTTCTCAAAGAAACAAGCAATCTCATCATCAACCGAGTATTCCCAATCACTGATGGCCATAATAGCTATGAATCGCGGGAGGTTGCGTAAAATAGATAACGCAAAAGACAAGAATAAAGGTATAAAGGACGGAGTGATTCAATTCTCTTTCTTGGTAAAGCATGAACGTTCGAGAACTCGCCCCTGCCAAGAATCTAACTCACGTACCGCCTTTTGTACCGCAGGCTGACACGACTACCACTTGGGTTTTGCCTGCAGAACGCAAGAAACCATCAATCTGACCCATGCCAGCAACGTCCACATCCTCATCAGCTCACCTTTCTGTGGCCTGGCAGGATCAACCTAGGGAACCAGTTACAAAGTGCTGCGCCAAATATACCAAGCAACTATCCTACCTCGGATCACGAACGCCGCGTCAATCTGGTGTGCCCCACGAGCCAGGGAGTCCGGTACTGGCAGAAGGCTTTGCGCAAACAAGGCAGTCCAGAAAAAGGCAGCCAAAACTATCACCAGAGCATTCCACACGGTCTCAGGTCCCGCACGCCGAAGCGTACCTGCCACCCCTTCAACTACATCTGGATAAAATAACCGCAGATACTTTGCCTTCGAATCCGCGCAACACCACCAGACCCTAGAACGAGTCCGGAGCCAAGGGCGCTAGAGCGGGCTACCGAAACAATTGAAGGATCTCTTCTTCTACACCGACCGGGGCGCAAAACCTGTCAGACTTGTGGATGCCTCAGGCCGATTACCAACAGATTTTTCCTCCGCTTATTAGAGAACACCTATCCAAATTTATTTACTTATTACTTTAGATATAATAGGGCTAGGGCTTTGTAATATAGCTTATTTAAAGCGCCTTAATTAATTTTTTAGATATTTTTAAATTTAGATCTTTTATTATTTATACTTATTAAGTTATTTTTAGTTAAAGTTACCTTATTATTTACTATTAAGTAAATATTAAATTACTACCTAGCGCTATTAAGCTAATTAACCTATAAAATTATTAATTATAAGCCTGGTAGTACTTTGCTAGGTAAAAATATTTAATTATAAAATATAATAACTAGTTAGTAAATTAAAGTACTTATAGCTACTTATAACTTACTATTATAAACTTTTTTAATCCTACCTTAATAATTAGTAAGGTTTTTATTATTTTAAATACTAATAATAACTAGTTAACATGATATAACTAGTTAAAAAACTATACTAAAGTAATAGGTATTTAAAATTATATAAATTTAAATATTAAAAAAAAAATAACTTTTAAAAAAGTAAAAGCTTAGGGAACCACTCCCGAGAGACTTTAGTAAAATATAAAAAAAATAAAAAAAAAGTATTTTTAAATTAATAATAATAAAGTAACTAAAAAAAAAGGTTTATTTTATACTAAAAAAACCTAAAATTACTAAAAATATATTAATTTTTAAAAAGTATAAAAAATACCTTAAGGCCTGTAATATATATAATAAGTATTTTAAAAAATAAATAACTTTATATAATACTTTTTTTAGTAATAATTTATATAATAATAAATAAGAACTTTTATAAGTTATTTAAAAAGGTAAATAGGCCACGTGATATATTAATTATTTTTTATAGGTAATTTTAAGTATTTAAAATAATAAAGTTATACTATTTATATATAAAACTTTAATTACTTAAAATAAGCTTAATTTAAATATTAGTAATATAAATTAATTATTGTTGGATAGGCCAGAGGAGCTAATTATGGAGATGAAATAAAAATATCGCAAGATAAATAATAATATTATAAAATAATAAGTGAATCTAGCTAAAAAATAATCTATATATAAAATTTTTAATAAAAAAAGTAATATATAATAATGCTAGCCTCTTTAAAATAAGCGCGGGAAATAAAACTAATTTAGGCTAAAGGCTTTTAGCAGCTTTTATAACCTACTAGTCCTCTGCTTTAACACAGCCCCCTAGCATTAACATGCTAAAGCTATATAAAACTTATAAAAAACATAAAAATTATAAAAATATGGTAGTTAAGTAGCTGGAATTTTAATTTTTTGTGCTAAATTTATTGCCACTAACTTTAATATTTTAATAAAATTTTAAAACTTTATTTTATTTAGTGTTTTTATTAGGCTATTTACCAGGTTTTTAGTTTTATTAATTTTTTTAAAATTTATAAGGTTTTTAGTAACAAGATTTTTTACTAAAAAATATTAAATATTTATTTATTTGGTCCCTAAAGTATACCCTGGTTTCCTTAACTTAATAATTATATTTACTAAATTTATATAAACTATTATAGGTCCTTTAATATTAAACCTTAAAGCTATATATAACTTTCTAAGTTAAATTACTTTTTTTGCCACTGTGTTAAACGCGATAAATTCTGCTAAAGTTAAACTTTTAGCCATAATTAATTATTTTATAAATCTCTAAAATATAGGCGCGCTGTAAAAATAAAATATATATACCTTTATTAATTTTTTTTTCTTATAGTTAGCATGCAAACTATTTATATATTTAACTAGTGTTTTATTATTTATATTTAAAAGAATACTAAGATCCTAGTGCTTTTTAAGATATTAAAATATATGCTTAACCGCGGCAAAGTTAGTATTTTAAGAATTTAAAATATACCTTAGTAATTTTACCATGGTGTATTTAATATCTAGCCTTGTTCTTTTGGATATTTAGTTAAGCTTTTTTATTAATTATTAATACTTTAAAATATCTTCCTTTTATGGCGGTTTAAATATAGTAACAGCTACTTTTATTAGGTGTTTTTAACCTAAATTTATTAGAATTCTCTGCCCGTTTAATTTATTAAAGTTTAATTAATTTAGGATCTTTTGGATATAGGTCTTTTAAGAGATAAGTATTCTTTTTTTTATAAAATTAATATTATATCCTAAGAACCGCTTTGGTTCTCTAAAAATTTTAAATTTAAAGTATTTAGCTAACTTTTTTAAGAACTTTTTATAAATTTTTTTTATAGGCACTGCTACCAAGATATTATTTATATAAATAATTATAATACTACCCTTGTAGGCGTAATAAAAAAAACATAAATTTTTTTTAATTTTTTAAAAACCTATACTTTTTAATATATTTGCAAATGTTTTATTTTAAAGGTATATTATTTTTTTTAATTTATATAAGGCGCGGAGGAGTAGGCAAACAAGATTTTTTTTTTTTAAACCTATTAGTTACTTTATAAGAACCTCTTCTTGCTTTATTATAAAGTTAAAATAGGTAGTTATTATATTAAATTAAATATAGTAATAACCCCTTTTATAAATAGCTATAAAATAGATTTTTACTAGCGTGTTAATAATAACTAAAGTATATATTTTTAGGCTATTATTTTTAACCTAAAAGTTACTACATGCAACCTAGCGGGCGCGGAACTTTTTTATATTATTTTTTTTATTTTTTTTATATTAAAAACCTATTTTCCTGGTATAATTTTCTTCTTTTTTTAAATAGCTAAAAATTAGGGAACTAATTTTTATGTAGGAACGTTCTTTAGCTTGGTATTTTACTTATTTATTACTTTAATCTAGTACTTCTTTTAGAAAGATCTTATTGCCTTTTTATAGTTATTTAGAATTAATATTTTATAGGTTTTAAAAGGATAAACGCCATCCGGAATTAGTAGTGTAAGTAAGGCTAATAAATTAAGTAATTTTAACTTTATTTTTTTAATATCCTGGTATTTTTATTCTTGCTTTATTTGCTTTGCTTGCTTATTTATAAAGTGTATTAATTTAAATTATTTTTTATTAGCTTTTTTACTAGGCAAAATTAGCTTTAAATCTTTTATTATAAATTAGGAGCGTTTTTTTTTTTTTTTTTTTTTACTTTTATAATACTATATCTTGGCCTTAAAGTGTTAAGCCACGGCTATACACGTCTTATTATTAATTTTTAAAGGTGGTGAGTTTTTTAGAACTTCTTACTTTAAAACTACTTTATTTTTTTTATTTTAATTAACTATAATACTTTTTATGCCTGTATTTCCTGTTCTCTGCAAGGCAAGAATACTAGCATATTATTAAAAATAAATAAACTTAGTAATTTACTTGCTTGTATTTTTTTTATCTTTTTTTTTATGTTTTTCTTTACTTTCTTAACTTTCTTAACTATCTCCTTAACTGTTAGTTTTTAAATAGTTGTATATAATCTATACTAGAAGTATTTTCTTTTTTTAGTACTTGTTTAACTTTTTTTTATGCGGCTATAGTTAATACTAACTTAGCTGCTAAAGGCGCTTTTTTTTTTAATATTTACTAAATAAACGCCTAAGCACGTGGCCTTAACTAGTATATTAGTTAAGCCTTATAGCTTGGCAATTCTCCTTTTTTTATTAGTGTAAATTTTATAAATTCTGGGGTAAAAAGCGCTAGATCTAGGGATAAGGTTTAGACCCTTTTAATTATAATAATCTCTTTGCTTTTATTAACCACTTGCAAATTATTATTATTAAAATTTTATATTTTAAATTACTTATTAAAATTAACTAAACCACCAGGGCCTTTATTATTAGGATTAGTTAGTAAATATGGTGGAGTAAGCAAAGGCGCTTTATTATTATTTTTTTCTTTTTTAAATATAATATTTCTTAATTTAATAATCTTTCCGGACTTTGGGAAATATACTTTATAAATATAAAATTTCTTATATTTTATAAGTTTTTTTTTTTTTACTTTAGGTATTATTTTTAAAGCTTTTATTCTTGTTTCCGCAGGGATGTAAATATAGGTATTATATTTAAAAATTTATAAATACTTTAATAAAGTATTATTTAACACTGGTATCCCCAGGCCTTTTATAAATTTTTTTACCGGTGGTTTTATTTTATTTTTTTAAATAAGTTAATTTTAAATATATAATATAAATTTAACCACTAGCAGCCATAGCTTTTCTAGTAACTTTATATTTATTATTATGCTGTAAGTAATTTATATAATATACCTATTAAACTACTTAATTTTGCTGTTCTCCTTAGGTATATAGCTTAGAGTTTCTTTAAATTTAGTATTAATTTAATTTTAGTAATACCAGGCTTT